TCCCCCCCCCCCCCCCCCCCCTCTCCCCTTTCCCCAGCCTAATCGCCTTTCATTCATTTCTATTCGCAAATTGTATCGAATGCGTGGGTTGCCTATACAGTGACTTGCGGTGACCATCGATGAGCAATCCAATGCTTTTATTTTCCGATACGACTCCGGCTCTCACTAAACGACCGTGGAGGGATGGAAAGTTTGATTGGCTCAAGCCAGTGTCAATCCAGGACTCGATACCCGAGCCCTGCGTCTACGTTTGTGCGACACCTCCTTTACATCACCTCCACCCTTGCTAATAAGAAGGAGAAAAAATCAGCTCACAAGTGGTTTCGGTGACTGCAAATGCCGTAGAAGGAGGTTAACGCCGCCAGTGATGCCTCCCCCTAACGAATACTTTCATCGGAGGGCTATTTCTAAGAAAATATCATTAGGCAGATGATATTGAGGTCTCAATCATTAATGGTAACTGCCTAAATTAGTTCACTAGATTTCGGTTTTTTATTCATTTTTTTGCAATTTTTTTATGCTATGACGCAACAATGAGGATTGCCTGGCTAGCGCTTGCCGTATTGACTTATTCTGTGAGGATTGACTAACGCATAAATAAATGAATGAATAATTTTCAGTTAGACTACTAGTTACACAGAAAATCACTGTTTGACTTACTTGAATCCGCTGAGAGCTTTTCCAAGCAACATTGGACCACGAATCGCGTCAGCCATTCGAGCAGGCAGCTGATCATCAATGTGTATTCTAATCCAGTCAACATTATGTGTTTTCTGCTCGAAAGCACCGTCCTCCATGGCGAATCCCAGTCCAGCAAGTTCAGCAGCTCTTTCTGGTGGCATTGGACAGCGGTCAAGGAACAAGGACGAGCGAGCATCCGTTAGCAACATTTCCAGCGCTCGCGAACAAAAGGTCACTATCTGTAAAACAAAGCGCTCAAAAGGGAAATCGACTCCGTAAATCAGGAAAACCCACTTGTTGTTCCCTTGTCTCGGACAACTGGACATTTCTTCTGAAGTAAAGAACAGGTTCGTCTTCCTTCTTCTTGCTCTCCGGTTCTGATGTTGCAAATTTCGTTAGCACCTCTGACCAACCACGCCGCATTTCATAGGGCTTATGATGAGGTTTCAATTGCACTTCTAAAAAAGAAAGGTTGATTCATGGTTGAAAAGAGCAAAATGACTCCACCAAGATTGGGTTGGTAGCCCATGAAAGGTGCGTCCGGTATTGAACTCTCACAGCCAATATTTACTCAAACTTTAATTTTTTTTCGAAATACCCCACTTTATACAAGTCTCCCTTAGCAATTTAGGTGGTGTGATTTGCTGTTCGCCACCATATTCACCGCTTGCGACCTTGGAATGACCACCGATCACTTATTTTCAGTTCGCTCATCGAGGTTATGAGTTCTACTGATAATATGCTTCCTGACCTAATAGGGTAAAATAAGGAAACACTTTCGATACCGAACTAGAGATAATGATGTTGAATTTTTGTCCAAGTACTCCCGTCTTCCTGTTTTGATACGCCATAGTGGGCAATTCAAGCTAAGTTCAGCAAACAGTCAACACCTCGCTCAAACCGCACCTTTTTTGGCATATTTTCGTTGACCTACTAGTTCGAATAGAACTCGTTCGAATCTATTTCTTCAAAACAAAGCACAACAAACCAGCCATAAGAGTTGCATAACAAACGCTGTCGTCCCAAGAAATTGCGAGCGCACAACATGGGCTAAGCGGCACTGTCCGCTAAGAAAACATACAAATAAAGGGTCTCCGATCGCAGTAAACAAATGGCTCTGGATCTACTGCTCAGAATTCTATGAAATTCTCCTTAATACAAAAAAGCTGTCATGGGATAGGGGGCAGGGAGGAACTTCCAACGTGGTTAAATTAAGGATCATTCTCAAACGCTCTATTAAACACAGAAATTCGAAGCGGTATGGATGAAAAAAGGAGATTCGGAAAGGGTTGATCGAGGTCAATCCTAGAAATTTCATAAATCCCAATCAGGGTACTTCACAAAATTGGAACTCCACAAAATTAAAACCCCTGAAAGGAAGCCGTAGGATTGATACCGTTCCAACGAGCTCTTTTACGCCCATCTGACTGATTAGCAACAAACCTAGGAGTCCTGAGATCATCCACAGCGAAAACGCTTCTTTCGCGATGGCCCTATCGATGCCATATTCCGCTCCCATCAATTCAACAATATATTCAGCAGTTGCGTTCCGTCCACCGGGTATATTGAATTGAATGCCGGCATCTGAAAACCGGTTTTTCCATCACCACGAACGCACCACGATAAGCGAAAGTATTGACGGGTCGCCAAGATTATGGTCAAATAGAACCTACAGTTGCTGTCATCACGTTCAGGCGTATCCATACGAACAAATTGCGATACATAAACTCGCATTGATACCACATCATTCTTTTTCTTGCGATAATCAGCAGATTGAGGAATGTGACTGAAAGAAAAACAATTCGGGCCAAAAATAACCAGAAGAATGCCTGTAGATTCAGGAAACTTACTGCAAAGTATAACCAAGAGGAGATATGGAGAGGGGAGGAGTTTTCTTGATTGTAGCACTTGGAGTATCGGCAAAGGACACAGCAGGTTTCTAAAAGAAAGGACTGCCAACGAAGTGAATCTCCAAAAGGACTCGAAATTTATCAAGTCAAAAAAAACACCGGAAGAAAGCGATTACCTCGCCCACAGATATCGTTGGCAGATGCACTTGTCGGCTTTCACTAAGCTTCTTTCTCGCTGTAGGCACATTCATGTCGGTTGATGATTCTTCGACGACCACTGCAGCTTAAATAAGAAATGTCATCACTGAAGGAAAGACGAGTAGACGATTTCTCTAACTGTAAACGAAGGCAAACAGAGAGGAGTGTAGTGTTTGTCTGCCGCCAACAGTTAGTCGTATGACGCATTACTGGTATTTTTACCGATATTTTCAAAGTTCTTTGATTAATATATAGAGACCCCTTACTTTGGCAACAATAACGCCACAACTAGAGTAAGATAACAAAAGAATGCGATCCAGATGCTCTACTCACCTCCTCCAATCGAATTTGGCCTCCTGAGTATCGGCTCAGTTTCTAAGGTCTCGTGGGGTACCTGAAGTAAACAATAAACAGTTTAGTAAACATGAAAACGTTACAGGGAACTTCAGCGGTGAAGTGCTGGATTATTAAGGAATTACTACAATTTCTCTAGCCACCGCGCCTTTTGAGAAGAAATAGTGAGTGGGCAGAAATGTAAATTTGGAAAAAAATTTAGGTCACTCTAATTACTGAGATGACTCATTCCGGAAANAAATATTATGCCTGAGATAAATATTTGCGCAAAAAACGCACTTGTTGACGGATCCCATAGAACTGTGGTAAGCCAAGAGCGCCAGAAAGATCACAACATTTTGCGAAATAGATGCGAAATAATCAGGAAAGAAAGGTACTGCAGACGACAACGGCATGAGGGTTTGTCAAAGGGTCATACACTGAGAGTATAAAAAAATTATCAGCGCATTACAACGCGAATGGAGATGTGTAGAAGGAAGTCACAATGGTGATACCCGTAGATTCACACCCCGCTCTACGACCTTCGCTTTGAATACGCTGAACAACTTGGTGACCACACAAAAAAGGTGTTTATTACGGTTTTCATGAGAGAAACGGGTATTAGCGAGAATAGAGGATGGTCTACGAGAACGGGACCGAAGAATCGATCTTTCCTTGTTGTATTTAGAAACGACTACCGTAGTTCACCTTACCTCCGTTTGACTTCTAGCCAGAAGACGTATGTTTTCGCCTGGAGGAGGCGCTCCTTTTGATTCATCACTCATGTTCAAGGGAAGACGTGGTCTACAAAAGGATTATTTGTTAAATTCAATAGTTCAGCCCGACGAATTGCCAAGACAAAGGAGCAACAGGCAACAGAACGACGATAGGAAACATATGACATTTCTCAACCACATGATGCCATTTTCAAGGTAATTCTTCCTACTTTACGACTTCGCAATATAAAAAACAAGTAATTATTGCGGTGTAACACCCACTCACAGAAACTGTAAATGTTCTGAGGCGATCAAAAAAGGTATCACAAATAAATAGAATTGACCAATCTTACAGCGCCTACCAACTCGTCCAAAGTTACGCTTTCGTCAAATAAGAAGATCGAAACAAATATCAAAAACTCTCAAATACGATCTCAGAATGAAATCTTTCGTAAAATCGGATCACAAGCAAGAAATTCTAAGTTATTTATTATAATAAAACTCAATGAATCGATTTTGGGCATCTCAAATGAAAATGCCCCATATCAAAATATTTCTTACGGAAAAGATGAAGGAGCTTATCACAAGCAGAGGATTCCTGAGATTATAATGCGAATCAACGACACAATAGGAACCACCAAATTCAAAAGAGCGAACTAGACCTACCATCAATCTTTCACACAAGTTATTGAGCCCATAACAAAGTCTTTGTCAAGTAATAGAACAGTCAAAGAGAAAGACCCTCCTGAGAAATAACTATTATATCACAAACCATATGCAAAGTGATGGGAACCCAAATATCCCAGATTTCAGCTAAGTTTGAGCAATACAAAATTGCTATACACATCGTTACTAAGAAAATATGGTCTCTATTAAACCTATGTATCGGAAAAAAGGGAAAATATGTAATGCATTCCGAAAGTGTAAATAAGCATAAAAGAAGCTCATAAAACGAAGGTCAGAGAGTACTTGTCCAAAGCGTAATACAAAGAAAATGACAAAAAATAAAAGAAAAAGTTTGTTGGACAGAGAAAAAGACAAACCAATGCATGCAAGCCGAAAATAACGCTTTTGAACGTCTATCGATTGCGAAGACGGAGAGAACAGGGAGAGATAGCGGAGGGGGGTCGCTGGCATGACTCATAGCATCAACGAGAGATCGACCCCATGGCCGCCTCTGCAGGTGTTATGTACTTTATCACAAGGCTGACCGGAAGCAATATATTAAGTGGCATGAGAACGACGTCACCTCAGTTCTTCTTATCTGAAAAAAGCTATCCAATCACCCATTCGGATGAATTTTACGATGAGTAAAAGCCCCTTAATAAACGTCGGTATGAAGTGTCAACCTGATAGCGATCACCTGACTATTCAAAACAGTCAACCGTGACTCCGCCAATAATAGTCGGGTGTTCATTGTCTCTTAGCTATCTGGTTTTAGACGTCACTGTATCCATAATAAGTAAACGAAACGAGCCAGAAATAGAAGAAAGATCCATCAATGCTGATTGCAACCACGGAGAAGAAACAGTCATTCACCACTGTCACTGTCTGAAGCCGCGATGCTAAGCCGCTAAGACCCGATCAGAGGGGAAATGCTCGCTTAGCAATATGTCTTAGAGAGAGAACTTCTATAACACTTTCCTGCCAATTTCAGCAATTTGTAGCGCAATAACACAGGAATCCAGACCTAGAAGGGGTGGAAGGCGGCGAAACTTTACTTGACATAGAGCTACCGTTCAGTAAATCTACGGTAAAAAAGGGGGAAGGGGTGGAATGACTGTATTTTACTTCACCTACTTTCTCAGAACATACAAAACCTAGTAAAAATAAATGAACTAAAGTGAAGGTTGTAAAGCATGACAGATATACAGAGACAGTCTCATTCAAAAGCTCGTTCCAATAGAGCTTACCTGATGTTGCGTATCCCAACTTCTTCAAAATGTCCTTACGAACTCCCTTAGTGCGGCACAATTCCAAAACACGCCGTTCGACAGCAAACACATGCTCATCAGGGCAATGGGGAGCCTGTAATATTTTTTTAGCAGCCTTTTCTCCATGGACTTACAATTAGTCGATCTAATAACCACAAGTTCATTCCGAAAGCTCACCAAAATAGACCTGCCTTATTTCAGATTCGCCATGAAAGAACAGAACCTCACATGTGATGACTAGTGCTACAAAAGGTGATCTCCTTCTACCTTGAGACTAATCTCCAAAACAAGCAAACTTCAACTTCTGTTTCTTTCAAAAAAGAAAAAACATCGTTTTACAGAACAAATTTGTTTATTTCTTTGATAACAGTGAAAAAAATTAAAAATAAGTTTGAATAAGTTTCTAGAAATTCAGACACTACCTAAGTTATTTTGAGTATAGTTACCCAAAAAACCCTTTTTCCATTTTTTTGAGAACATTCCGCCAAAATGGATTATGATCAATTCATGGATC